CACTCCTGACACCCTGGGGATGTATACAAGACATGCATGTCCCTTAAATGCCTCCATAGCCTTCATCTGAGTGTCAGAGGTGAAGGGAGCCCTTGTAGCAGTTGGACAGGAGGACAAACCCAGCTTTGTGGCAGCTTGGTCTGGACAGGGCAGGAGAAGCAATGATGATGATGATAAGGTATCATGTTTATTGAGCAGTTACACTCTGCTAGGCACTATTCTAAGGTTCTCAGAGCTGGAATCCCCTCCATGAGTTATACTTGCTTGCATCCCTCCTGCCGTGGGGGACTCATTACCTCATGAGGCTATTCTGGCCTTTATGTGTACTTTGGTTCACTTAAACACCATCCAAACTTCTCGTTCTGGCCCACAGGCCCACATAATCTGTTTGCTGACCTCACCTTTGTAGGCCACGCTCCCACTTGGACCTCAGCCCTCTCCTTGCCCTCTGTTTCCAACGCTTCTTCCCCAGTGGCAACTGTAGATGGTCTTATAATGGTCTCCGCTTTGTTTTGCACAGGTCACAGGCAGTAACTCACTGAGTCCTTACAATAGCCTTGGAACATATAGACATCAATATGCATTTTACAGAGGGGGAAATGGAGGCCCAGAAAGCCTGCAGGGACAGAGCTAGTTAGTATGGGTCTGGGTGCACCCCCAGGCAGTGCCTTAGCCCCACCCTGACCTGCAAGCAGTATGGCAGGCATGCCTCTCCCACCTGGAGACACCTGCAGTCATGGGCTGGCTTTCCCCTCATCTTTCTCTGTGCACCTGGGATTATAATGGTTGGGTGTCCTCTCTCCCCCACAGGGCCATCAGCTTTTTCAGGTGGTACACCATGGGTGAGGGAAAAGAGGTAGCAACAGCAGCAGTGATAACATTGCATTCAGCACTGCTCTCAATGCACCAAACGCAGTAACTCATGTAATGTTCCATCAAGTCTGTATGCCTCAGTATGTTGTCCCATTTTATAGAGAAGGAAATGAGGCACAGAGCATTTTAGTAAGTTCTCCTTGGTCCCACAACTAGTAAGTGGCAAAGCCAGGAGTTCACCCTGGGCTGTCTGCCCTCAACCCCCTACCCCCAGACTGAGGACCTCTCTCCAGCCCCCTCTGCAAGTCTCTAGTCCGGTGTGGCCTGCTAGAGTGTTGAGAGGACTTTCACCTGCAGCTGGTCTTTGGAGTGGCACCCCTACACTCTTGCTTGCCTCCCCACATGGGGAGCTCCCCACTCCCAAGGCTGCTCTCTTGCTGGGCCTGGTGAGCAGATTCCTCTTCCTCCTACCAGGCCCGTTCTGGCCCTGGCACTGTGTCCTGTGTCCTGTGCCCCACCCTGTGCACCTTTGTGTGATGAACAGTATCCCTCCCTGCACTCCTCTCCCCCATTGTCACGTGCCCCGGTTACCAACCCCCGCTTCCTTCTGCTTTTGGTCCTGAACCCAGTGTTCCCTGTCCTTTCCCCTCTTGTGACATGGTTCTGGCACCCTTGACAGGGTTAAAATCAGACTTTCCCTATTCCAAGCTAACCATCTGGGAAGTGGCTGCTTGCCTGCCTTCCTAGAAGTTTCCTTGCTTCACTCTCAGACACAGGCCTTCTTTGTTCCCTGCAGCGGAACGTCCTGTTCCAGAATGGCCAAGCAGTTCTGTCCAGAAAGAATCCCTTCCTGCTGCAGCTAATATGAATATTAATAACTTTCACCATCCCTGTGTGGCAGGTACTGTTGTCATCCCCAGAGACACAGAGGCCCAGAGAAGGGGATTTGCAGGCCCGAGGCCACAGAGCCAAGAGATGGCAGGGACAGGATTCAAGCCCAGTGGTCTGGCTCTTTTGGTCTGTGTCACTGCTTCCCCTACTCGATGAGGCATTCTCCAACCCCATCCCTGTACTCAGCTTGGCCTCCAAGTGTGGCTGGGCAGGTTGTGCATTGCACAACTCTGGGGGGTGCCAGTCCCATTGGGATCTTTGAGACTTGACTGTAATCATGGCTTTCTGTCTGATGGAAGGGGTGCCTTTGCACAAAGGTGGTGTGTGTGCCAGTGGTGGTGCTGACATTATAAGCTGCTTAGGAAAGTCACCTGGACCTCTGTGCTTCCCTGTCCTGCACCCCGGTAACACAATTCACAGTAACCACCTACACACTCAAGGACGTACCAGAGGCCAGGCCCTGTGCTAAGCTCCTTGCTGATAAGAGTTCACAATTGTTGGGTGATTGCACCGCTGTCAAGCACTGCTGTAAACACTTGACGCCTTTTATAGTCCTCTGAGACAGATCTATCACATACCTGGCTTCATTCAGGTGGGGAAACAGCCTCAGAGAGCTTGCCGACTTGCCCGGGTTGCTGGTCAGTATGTGCCTACAAAGGCTGCCTCTCCCTCTGTGTGGCCCCCAGGTCTCTCCAGTGCTGCTCTTTGGGACAATGTGAGTAGGGTGTGAGGCAGGGATCTTCTGAGGGTTCAGTTCCCAGGGACAGTACCTCTCAAATTGCAGGACCCTATGGCAGTAGGGAGGGGGCTTGCAGATGGGAACAGCTTCTTCTCAGACCTGGCTTTCCCTTGGTGCCCCCATGATGGCAGGGACCCTGTGGTCTTGTGTCACTGCCTTTGGCCTCTGAGAAAAGTTCCAGAAGGTGGACAAGAATCCCAAGATTTTCATTAGATAAATGAAAAAACTGAGGCCCAGGATGGCTCTTAAGTTTGCTCAGGACCACATAGGGCTCCCAGTCGGGTGGGGACCTGAGCAGATCCTGCTGTTCCACTGCTGTAGGACCCCCGCAAGCCTCTTGTTCTCTTTGAGCTCTTACAGTGTGACATTGTCAGTCCCATGGGGCTGATCCTGGCTCCCTGGAAGGTGCAGGCACTCCCAGTGCCTGGTGTCTGGGAAGGCTCTAGCACTGTCGATGGCATTTCCTGTAGCTTTCTGCTGCCCCCTGCCTTGGGCATGCCCACCTGCTCAGAAGCTGTATGTCCAGCTCCAGCTGGGGGCACGTGGCCCTGGCCCAGGAGCTCAGGTCCAGGCTCTGACTGCCAGAGCCCATTGATGCTGCTTCCTCCCTGGCACAGGGCTCCAGTGGCACATACCTTCTAGCCAGGTTCTGTGGGTGTAGCCAGGTCCTCTGTGGCCACCAGGGTGGCAGGATATAGCAGGGAGCTGTTTCAAGACCTTTGCTTGGGCCTCGGCTGCTCTGTCTTACCTGTGACCCTGGATGAGGCCCTCATCACTCTGAGCCTCAGTTTCCTCATCTGAAAAATGGGCCAGTTGATCTTCCTTAATTCTGAAAACATGCTGAGAGTATTTCTCTGTATTCACCACAATTGGTGCTCTGGGATGGGGGTGGAAGAAACCTGGTTGTGCTCTAGGGGCAGGGCACCAGGGACAGCCAAGCCAAGCTGAGGTGCTTATCTTCCCTGCCTCTCCGCCCAGCTTCCCATCTGTGCTCAGGCCCTCCTGTTGCCCACCTGAGCATTCCCCAAGACTTGTCCTGCTGGGCATGTGATCCTTGGCAGGCCGTAGGATCAAGGCCTCCACCCACAAGTCATGCCAGACTGGGCCATCACCCCCTACCCATTGGCTGGGTTGGGGACAGCTTTCCAGGGGCACCACCTAATCTGCCTCTTGTTGTGTGGCCCCAGGTCCAGGAACAGGGCTCCTGAGTGTATGCATCTGTGCATGTATGTGTTCACATAGGTATACATTGCATTGTGTGTGCGCATGTGCATACATGTGCGCACAGGTGTGGAGTGGGTGACATGTATATATGTATGAGTATGCTCACATATGTGCAGTGTACCCATGCCCATGACATGCACATATGTGTGGCATGTGTGTTTAGACATGGATGTGCATGCGTGCACATGTGTATGTGTGTGAGTGTATGGATTCGTGCGTGCATGTGGGTGCATGGATGCACTAGGACTTGAGAGGACTATCCCCATGACAGCCCCATCCTCCTGTGGGTGCCTGCTCTGGGTGCCTGCTGTGTCCACACTTTCATGTAAATGCACTGACTGGGCACTTACCATGCACCAGGTAGATGTGTCTTTCCTCATGGAGCTGATGGTCTAGTGCCGTGGTCGGCAAACTGCGGCTCGTGAGCCACATGCGGCTCTTTGGCTCCTTGAGTGTGGCTCTTACACAAAATACCACGTGTGAGCGCGCACGTACAGTGCAATTGAAACTTCGTGGCCCATGCGCAGAAGTCGGTATTTTGTGAAAGAGCCGGTATTTTGTGGAAGAGCCACGTGGAAGAGCCACACTCAATGGGCCAAAGAGCCGCATGTGGCTCGCGAGCCGTGGTTTGCTGAGCTGCAGTTTGCCGACCATTGTTCTAGTGGCACAGACTGACACTCATCAAAAAGTAAGAAATGGATTTAAAATTGCAACAACTGTGGCAGGGGCCAGGAAAGAGAGGTGCGTTGTGTTGTGGGAACCTAGAATGATGTAGTCCTGGAGGGCTTTCCTGAGGAAGTAACATTTGAACTGGGCTCTAAGGGATGGGTGGGTGGGAGCGAGGAGAAGGGAAGGACGAGCATTCTGGATAAAGGGAACAGTATTGCAAATGCCCTATGTCAAGAGGGACAGGTCAGTATAGGTGGAACACAGAGGAGGAGAGTATGTGTGTGGGGAGTGGGGATTTGAGGGGTGGGGAGACCCTCAAATCCCTGAAATCAGTGACAGCTGTCTGAGCCCTGTGGTCCAGTCAGTTCTTACCTCTCACTAGTGGCCTCTGGGCTATGGGAATACTTGCTCCTGGACAGACTGGGGCCAAGAGAGGGAGGTGGCAGGGGAGCCATTTAAACTCTCAGAAGTACCTTGTAGAGGTACAGTTTTGTTTGGGGACATCTTAGAGGTCCAGCTTTCAGGAAAACTGGGTCCAGGAATTGGGTGGGGCTCTCTTTTTTTTAATCCTCACCTAAGGCTATTTTTTCTGTCAATATCTAGAGACAGTGTTGAGGGGGAGAGAGAAACATCAATGTGAGAGACAATTGATTGGCTACCTCCTGCAAGTGTCCCTGCCTGGGCTGGGGCACCTGCAACCAAGGTATATGTCCATGACGGGGAATTGACCCCATGACCCTTCGGTCTACAGGCCAGCACTCTAACCACTGAGCAACCAGCCAGGGCTTCATAAACATTTTAATAGTGGCATGCTATTCAATAAGCACCAATTAACTATTTCTTTGGTTAGGCATAGTAATATCTTCTTGAACATTATTCTAACCTTTTGTTATAGTAAAACAACATCTTGGTGCCTAAGCCGTTTTTTCTTTCTTTTGGGTAACTTCCTTAGGATAGCATCCTAAAATGAGAGTTACCAGCTCAAAGGACATGAATGCCTTTACTTTTCTTTTTTTTTTATAAAGATTTTTTTAAAATATATTTTTATTGATTTCAGAGAGGAAGGGAGAGGGAGAGAGAGATAGAAACATCCATGATGAGAAAGAATCATGGACTGGCTGCCTCCTGCACGCCCCACACTGTGGGTCAAGCCTGCAACCCGGGCATGTTCCCTGACTGGGAATCGAACTGTGACCTCCTGGTTCACAGCGACACTCAACCATAGACATGCTGGCTGGGCACCAGTTCGGTGGGGTGAGTCTCTTTAATGGAGGCAAGGGAAAGGAGTCAAGAACTCCCTGCTCAGCTGGGGAAAGACTCTTCTCCTCAGCCTCATTTTCTCCTCTAGATGGGCTCCCAATGTAGACCTCCATGGAAGCCCCAAGTTCTGGTCTGAGGGGAGAGCATGAAGCACAGCCTCAGTCAGGGCAAGCTGATCCCACTGCATGCTGGAGGGGGCGGTGTTTGGGGTGGGGCGCGGTGGGTGGAGAGTAAGTCAGATCTCCGGTAGGCTTGAAAGCCTACCAGCCCCTCTCAGGCCCAGATGCGGCAGAATGGCCTGCTGTGCTGGCAGAGCCTTTGATTCCAATTCTTGCTATCCTGGGGGGCACAGGGACATGGGGAGGGGGCTTGGGACAGTTGATTTCCACCATAAATTTAGAAGCACTTGGGTAGCTGAAGTATCCTGAGCTGCCCAGCTGGTGGAGTCCTGGGGATCCACTGCTGGCCTGGGTGTATGTGTTTGGGGGGGATGAGGGGGGCGGTTGGGGCAGGGTGGGCCAGCCTGGCCTTGCTGATTGCTGTGTCCCTGTAGGTTCTCCCGTTCGGATGAACTGTCAAGGCACCGGCGTTCGCACTCAGGCGTGAAGCCCTACCAGTGCCCTGTGTGTGAGAAGAAGTTCGCTCGGAGTGACCACCTGTCCAAGCACATCAAGGTGCATCGCTTCCCCCGGAGCAGTCGCTCCGTTCGTGCTGCCAACTGACCCCCCACCTCCACCCACCCACACAACCATTACCACTACCACCTGTTCACCCCATCCCACCAGCCCCATCAGATGGTCCAGATCGCCCATGTATTTTGTAGCAATAATTTATTTGCCTCCTTCAGAGAGATGTGACAATGTTGCCAACCCAGCAGCCTGGGTTAATATGGGAAGAGGGGGGCTGGCCTGGGAGGCAGGAACCCAGAGCCCTCCCACCTGCTGCCTTTCCTGGGGAGACCCAGCCCCTGACCCAGGAGGCCGGCCTTTGTGCCTTTGCACCTTCGTGCCTTCCTGCGCCACTGTCACAGGCCTCTGCTGCAGTGTCTGGGGGCCTGGCCCTTCTCCCACTGGGCTCCCTGCTTGGGCCAGGGCCAGCACTTTATTGCCCGGGAAGATGAAATGTGCAGTTTTGAAATGTCAGTTCCCACAGGGAGCCTCACTGGGGAAAAGGAAGTAGGCCAAAAGTCCTGGGCTGCACGGTGGTGTGCAGGTGGTTTTGTCCAAATGCTTTGCTCAGCCTGAATACCAGAAGGTATGGGCAGGGCTGTTAGGGGTGTAGGACCTGGCCTCCTGGTGGCTGCAGGATTGGGGTGAAAAGTCCTCCCTCTGGGGGCTGACAGTGCATGTGCTTCAGTTAAATGTGCAGGGCAGGCAGACAGATGCAGGCTAGCCCCGGAGCATCTGTACCCAGTGTGGCTCATCCCCTCGTCCTGTTTCCCAACACCAGCCTCCAGAGTCACCTTTTGGGAGGAGAGGGGAACAGGCTGTGTAGCAAGTAGAAGAATCAGATAAAGCCCCCAATCCCTATTTAGAAATGCATTCCTCATTTTGTCTAGAAATTAATATCAAATGAACTAGCTTGTTTTGATAGGTTTATTTCACATCCTATGAATGTATGTAAATAAACTGTACATAGGTACATCTACATAAAATATCTTTTAATAACATCAGCATTTGTGTAAATTTGAAATTTTAAAAATCTATAAAGCTGGTGTATATATGTTACAATTATGTATATTTTCTTTGGTCCTTCATAAAAATATATTTACTTTGCCAATAAAAAGAAAAAAGAACTCAATAACTTAATGATATTCATACACTGTTTTCCTCTGCTCTGCCAGGAAATGGGGTAATCGGGGGGCTGAGTCTCAGGGGACCTTGAGGTTTATACCTGGAAAGATACAAAGGCATCTTTGGGGTTAAGCCCCTGGCCTAGCCATGCAGGGTTCCCACACAGCCCTACCTACAGGCTGGCTGTTAGGTTTCGCTTATTCCAATATCCCAGAAGGCTAGGAGTGCTCTCTCTCCTCTACACAACCCCAAATCCAACCCTTATCCTAGCATCACTTATGGGAAGCCACTGCAGGCCAGGCCAGGCCCACAGGGGTCACTACTCCTCTGATTTACTGTTGGAGGCCCTTGCTCGGCATTTGACACTTTCTGTGCAGTCCATTGGGTATTTATTGTGCACCCACTGTATGTTTTGTGCAGATGTAGGGGGCAGATCATGCCCCCTCCTGAACTCCTGGAGGAAATGGCATATTCCCGCCTGCATGCGTGGTAGTAAATGGATTAGGACTTTAGCCACCACCTTCACCCTCCCCAGCTGCTCAGAACTCTGGGGAGACAAAGCCTCCTAAACTCCCCAGATGCTTGAGGCTCTCTGAGCACTTGCACAGTTGGGATTTGGACCCATCCACACATCCTGGCAGGCTGGGAACAGGGCGGGACCAGAGGAAGGAGAAGCCATGAGCTAAGCCAGGTGGGCAGGGAAGGTGGCCACAGTTCTATTGTGTGAATTAGTAGGTGAGGACCTTCCAGAGGTGATTGTCTACCCAGGAACCTGATACAAGTAAGGCCAGTGTTTCTCAGTGACAGCTTCAGAGACTGACCCTGGTCCCGGGGAAAGGACTTGGCCTATGACATCTGTCCTTTGCCCCTGACCAAATATACCTTGTATGGCCAAACATGCTTGGGTAAGTGAGGCATTAGCATAGCCTTTCTTCATCCATAAACAAACAACATAGCCCAGATAAAAGGACACCAGAGGTCAGGACAGTCACTGTGGAGGAGCCTGTGAGCACATGTATCCATGGTGCTGGGCACTGACCCAGGACCCCACTCCGCTCATCTCTGTGGATGTCCCCACAGCTCGCTTACTGTGCACTTGCAGCCTCCAGCTGACCCTGTGTCCAGGCCAAGGTCAGGGTGGTTGTGTGTGGTGGGGTGGTCTAAGTCTGGCTCCAGACTCCTCACCTGATGTGTATGTTTGCACCCTTGTCATGCCCCTTGGCAGCACAGCTGAGTGAACAGGGCGTGGAGGGAAGGGCACTGCCTCTTGATCCCCACTCCCCCCACTTTGGATTTCTTAAACTCTATAGATTTGAGCTTCTTCCCCCTGCAGAATGGGGATGAAAGTCCTCAGGTGATCCATGGTGGGGAAGGGTAAGAGAGAGTGTGTGACTTTGAATAGTGGTGAGGACCCTTTCTAGCCTGTGAGCCTGCCTTCAGGCCAGATGGAGAGCCTGGGGAGTCAGGGTCTCTGGTCTTCTACTGCAGCTAACACCATTGCAGCATGACCCATGAAAGCATTAGGAGTTCTGTTGAGGCACCTAGCTTGTCTCCTACCTCTGGGAGACTCCCATGCCACCACCTTTGTCACTGGAAGAAGAGTGTTTGTCTTAGCCTACGAGCCAAGAAGCAGATGGAGATGTGAGCCAATGTGCCCACAATTGTTTGTAATAGGGAGGAGTCTGGAAAGTTGCAGAGCTTTAACACCCTGGGACCCCATCTTGCACAATACCCTTCCCAAAGGCACACAGAGGGGGAAGTATCATTTATTGAGCAGTGAAGCAGGCAGAGTATGGGTTAGACTGCTATAACAAAGAAACTTCTCAACACTGTTGCTTACATAGGTAGTTTCTTTTTCTCTATTTAAATATTCTGAAAGTAAGCAGTCCAGGCTGATATGGCAGCTCCATTGTGGGGAGCTCCTCTCTCGTTGCTCTCCATGCCCTAGGGTGTTGGTCCAAGATGGCTCACCAGGGTACTGTGCCAGCCCAGGGAAATCCATCAAGGGGCCATGTGTTCCCTCCCTCCCTGAAAGGTCAGGGGCTGGGATTTGCACAGTCTTGTCCACCCATGTCCCATTGGCCAAAACAATCACAGGTTCATCCGCTGCAAGAAAAGCTGGAAAATTTAGTCTTAATCTGGAGGTTATGGACACAGCTAAAATTTGGAAGTTCTATTACAATAGAAAGAAAAGAAGCGTAGGCATTGAGTTTTCACTACAAGCACACCCGCCATGTTGGTGTTGAGCCTGGTGCCATGCACACATTCTGTTCACCTCTCAGAACCTTGCAAATTGGCCTCTTCCCTGCAGCATGTAAGTCATGGTAGAGTGGGTGGTTCCCCCCGCCCCTCTCAGAATGGGTGTCACTGGCAGGTATGGAACCTACTGTCAGGCTTGGAACATCAGCGTATCAGGAGGGGAAACCCTGTGGGAATAGAGGAGCTCTGACACTTTGGTTGACAAGCCAAGGGTACAAATGACAGAATCCTCACCCATGGGGACAAAAGTAAACAAAACAAAACCCGTATAAAGTCACCAGTGTCTGTTCTTCAATAGGATCCAGAATCTCTACAAGGGTCAAGGGGATAGAAGCAGAAAGATCTGGGGTCAGGACTTCTAGGGAACTATAACTTTTCTTATGCTCCATTGGTTCTAAATATCAAAGACCCAGACAGCGGGTGTAGGGAGAAGCTGCTGGGAATGGGCATGTTAACTCGCACAGCTGTCAATGTGGTGAGGGTCTTGGAACATCACATAAGGGGACCAAACACAGGGACAAGGTCAGCTCTCTTTGTGACAGACACCGAGTCTGAACTGCATTACCTGAAGTTAGGCTAAGGTGACTAATGCCATGGGGCCTGCTAAAAGACTGCAGGTGGAGGCAAAGGGAGCATTCAGAAGACTCAGAAAGTATATACCTCAGCGATCCACTGCAGGACCCAGAAAGGCATCTTTGGAAATTTCCCGTTATCTTCAACAGGTAAAAAGTTCCTGCTGGCTCCTGGGAGGCCACAAAGGGGGCCCTGGCTGGAATAGAACAGAAACAAGATGAGGTACAGAGAGAGGTGGAAGGATGAGGGAATATTGCAAGAGAACAAAAACTGCAACGGCAAAATTAAAATCTGCCTTGGAGACAGCAAAGAAGGGTAGGTAGGGCAGGCTTCCGACTGCTGCCATGGAGTTCAAACTCACATGGATCCCAGACCCAGCTGGGAAGGAACGATGAAAGTGGGATAGATAGGTATGGAGGGCAAGAAAAATCAGTAGCTGGATACTGGGGTTCTGGAACAGATTTCAGAACAAATAGCATATGTATTAATACTGTAAATAACATATACAACATACTAAAATGTAACATATAAAATGTGCTAATATGTAATATATACTAGTGTGTAACATCTCTATATAAAAGCCTATGCAACCATTTGACTGGCCGGTAGCTATGATGCACACTGACCACCAGGGGACAGACGCTCAACGCACAGGCATGGAAACATGGAACAGACTGATGAATCTCAGAGGGAAGGGGAAAGGGGGAGGGCAGGAAGAACTTAACCAAAGATATATGCATATAAGAGGCTCAGTGCACAAATCTGGTGCATAAATCCCTCGCCCTGGCCTGCAGGAATCAGGCCGAAACCAGCTCTCCGACATCCCCTGAGGGGTCTTGGATTGCAAAAGGGTGCAGGCCAGGCTGAGGGACCCCACCGGTGCATGAATCTGTGCACTGGGCCTCTAGTACTAATATATAACATAACAAATATGTACAAATAGAATTATAATACAATTATACAATATGTAATTAAATCATATATAACTATATGCACACTTGATGTAAGTGGAGGGCTGGGAAAATACCCTACCCATGGAGGCAGGAGGGCATAATGGGTGGGTCTTGGAAGCAGAAACTGGAACTGAGCCCACTTGAGCCCTATTGGTTTCTCTGACTCTCAGGGCACTTATGCGAAACCAGTGTCACTACATTGATTCCCCAGGAGGTGTGAAGAGGGAGTTAGCATATTTACATAGCAAATCCATTGCATGATGGACAAGAGGCCACAGTGATGAGGTAGAAAGAGAAATGCAGCACCCAAAGAAGGGCCTCCCACTAGAGAACTGCCTGAGATAAGGACATGGAAGCTCAGAGGCAGCTCTCACCTCCTGAGGTCAGGCCTTGGCTGGAAGGGACACCTGTGGGCCTTGCACAAAGGAGCCCCTCATGGAGTGAGGTCTGGACCCTGAGACCAAGTAAGCTTTCAACCTCCATTGGGCCTTTCCCATCTGCTCTAATTCTGGGAGTCCGGGAGATGTGAGGACACACCGGCATCGCCGTCCTCACCTGTCCCCAGCGTCTGGTTCTGTGAACTGGGCCTCGACTCTGAGCTGAACGAATGAGAGCAGGTTCCAGACGGAATGGTGCTGGCTCTAGTGAGGAGTGGGATCACCACAGCTCCCTTTAAAAGATTACATCAGAGACATCAGGCACCTGAAAGACAGATGACTAGAATGAGAGTAGGGTTGTCAGAGCTGGAAATAGCTGACTACAAGAGTGAAAATACATTTAGCTAGACAGGAGTCTAAAGAATGGCGAATGGGTTTTAACATTCAAATGCAGATACCAAATACTGTTACAGAAAGAGAAGAAAGGTTTGCAATGTCCAAGTAACAATGTAATTAATACCAGTCTGGCTCCAAACCCCAGGTTGTACGAACGGTTGTGCAAATGCTTGAAGTGCCTCTGGTAGGACCCTCCTCTTTCCCAGAGAAGTCCTTGCCCTTTAAAGGAGAAAATTAGACCAGTGGCGTTTTGGACATCTGATTTTATGTATTTCTCCCTTCCCTGAGACATCTCTACCTTGTGCACAAGAGGAAGAAATAAGGCTTGATGTCTCATTTCTATGGGGTAATTGGCAACTGGTAACTGGTAAGTTGGTAACAGCTGTCCCCAGAGGGCTCAGTTGGAAAGAGGAATGAGGCAACCTGTCTGGTCCCACTGAAAAGTGGCAGTGGGTGCCCTTCTCCCACTGAAGCCCAGGACAAAAAGTGGGTGCTCCCACTGGCTTGGAGCTGCTGGCAGGACAAGTAAGTGGGCAGTTGCATCCTCCTCCCCAGAGGACACCCAGGACCCATGAGTACTCCATGTAGAGGAGTTCTGGGTCTCACTGGATAGATGAAACTGTGGCCTCCCCTATGTGTCAGCTTGAGGGAGGACTCGAAGGTGGTGATGCAGTGATTGGTGGGCGCTCCTTTTCTCCCTTACTCTCAACTTTGCTAAAAGTCTGGGTGCACATCTGGAAATTCATGCCCTCTCCTAGTAGTGAAGATGCCCCTCACCAGCTCAGCAGGCTCTGTGTTCTCCCATAGCGCCCCTTTCTCCCACTTGATCCCTTCAATACTGGTCCTGAGAGTCCAGCCACTCTGGCAAGAACCATCTGTGCCACCTTTACTAAAAGTTTGCAGGGTTACAATATTTTGCTTGGGAAACCTTTATTTGATGTTTCAATCTCTCTATATAAAAGCCTACGCAACCATTACGACCGAATGACCAGAATGACTGGAACGACCAATCAACCAGTTGCTATGGTGCACTGACCACCAGGGGCTAGATGCTTAACACAGGAGCTGGCCCCTGGTGGTCAGTGTGCTCCCATAGACAACCTCCTGTAGCCCCTCCCCCCAGTGTGCCAGCCAACCTCCTGCGGCCCCTCCACCCGGCTAGCTGCCTCCGCCCCACAACTGGCTGGCCAACCCCTGCAGTCCCTCCCCCCTGCTGGCCAGCCCCCCGGTAGGCCTCGATTGCTGGCCAAGCCAAGGGACTCCATCTGTGCACAAATTCGTGCACCAGGCCTCTAGTTAAAATAATAACATAATTATAATATCCACTAAGTTATAATAATATAATTTATAATAGTTACATAATATAATCATACATATATACTATAAGTAAAGATTATAACTATACTTATTGGCCACCCTCTTTGCGAGGCACCCAGGGACTTTACTTTTGGCATCCATCCCTTCTGTCACCTTCTAAGTGTTTCCCTCTTCCTCCTGGAACTTCAAATTCCTGGCCTCTTTAAATACACAGGAGAATTAGAGTCAGATTTCCTGGTTCATATAACCTCTCCCTGCCTCAGTTTCCTTATCTTCACAGGATGATAATGGTTCCTTCCTCATAAGGTCAGTGTGTGGACAAAATGAGTGAACATGAGATGCACTGAGAACAGAGTCCAGCAGGGGGTAAAAGCTATTACTATTGGTGGCATTTTTATTACTACCCATTGTTACTTGAGCATCCCCTCAGCATCCCCACCTCTTCATGCCAAAGGCTGAATAAGACACTTCTTCTAAATGAACACAGCACTCTTCCAACAGTCATCTTATCAGGGCAAACGTTTTCCAGCACCTGCACATCTTGCCGGCAGACAGGCGAGCCCATTCCCTCTTCAAAAGGATTGCAACATCTCCTCGGTGTTCATTCATAGATCATTAAACACTTAGCAGAGAGAACTCAAAGCTAAAACAGGGGAGGGCAAAACACAGAGTTTATTCTTGCATTGTTTATTAATTATTGTATTATTTTCATATGAACAACTGTAAACCTACCTTTGCCCCGCCCTGTATGTTCAAGCCATTGTTGATGAAGTATCAGGTGATAAACAAGATAAACCCAGTTGGAAACTATAGAGGCATTAAAAGGCTATGCATGATTCACAGGTTTTATTTGCATTCTTATTTGCATTATTTTCTAGGTAGGAAGCTAATCACTAGACTGTCCCACTTAATACCAGACACCTGGAAATTCTACCTGAGGCCAAATTCTCTTACACTGACACACTTTCCACACCCCCACAGGAGTCACACGCCTTGCATCCCATAAAAATAACCGCAAAATGCATGCCCCAATCTTCAGGGGCCTGTGGTCTGAGTGCAGGGGCCTGTCTTGGTGTGTATGTGTGTGCGTGTGCGTGTGCGTGTGTGATTATACCCTTGGACACTGGGCATTTGAGCCTCACCTAAAACTGCCAAGTGGATACTCTGGGCACCCCATCAACATAGAATTAGCCACAATGATATAATTTATTTCTAAACAAATAAACTTTATTTCATGTATACAAAAAAAGAGAATAGACATGGATAAAGTTAGACATGGAGAGAAATGTATGAGCTAACAAGTCAAATATATCTGGAATGCATAGAACTGTTCTATAAATTAGTGAGTAAAAGATAAAAATTCCAATAGAAAAATGGGCAATGAATATAGTAACTTTACAGAATAAGAAATGTGATTAGCAAATCAGTCCATTGAGAAGATGTTTGACCTTGTGAGTGAGTGTGTGTGTGTGTGTGTGTGTGTGTGTATGAATTCTATTTATGAAAATAAAAACGATAATGGATTCTATTTATGCTGGCTAGACTGAAAAAAATGTAAAAGATTGATTACATCCAAGGCGTAGAAATGGCTGCTTCAACATTGTTGATGGCAGCACAATTTT